TAAAATAATTAATATTATGAAAAACAAGCAAAGATAATATAACAAAAAAATAAAATAACTTAATTAATAAACAAATAAAAAATTAAAGTTGGAACGAATGTACCGAACGTCTACGTAAAAGTAGACGTATAACCAAAGCCGGAATTGAGAGATGCCAATTGAAGCTTTCGATTTACTTCAAATAATTCTCCGAAATTCGAACTCCAAGTCAATATCACAAAATAATAATTATGAATTTATGAGAGATTGAAAATTAAGAGATTTTATAAGATATTAATGAAATAGTTTGTGAATTTGTGATTTAAATGAAAAAATATGAGTATATTTATAGTGTTAAGGGGTAGAGATGGGTGGGGGGCTGTTTGGAGCCGTTTTGGGCCCCAGCCCAACGGCTAAAAGGGCCCAACGGCTCTATAACGTTCAAATTTTAAAAAATAAATAATAAATAATAAATAAATAAATTAAATTGACCGTTGAACCGGACCGGAACCGGTTCTTACCGAACCGGATCAATCGGATAAAAATTCGGGTTCCGTTTTGGTACCGGTTCCGGTTCCTTACCGGTTCAATCGGTATCGGACTTACCGGTACGAGAATCGGACCGAACCGGACAAAAACCGGTCCAATAGAAGTATCTAGTATTAATTTCATGTATTTATTTTTATGATCTAATATTAATTTCATGTATCTATTTATATGATCTAATATTAATTTCATGTATCTATTTATATGATCTAATATTATTTCATGTATCTTTTATATGTATAATTTGATGTATCAAGTATCAATTTTATACGTTATATAAAAAAATATGTATCTCAGATAAATATAAAAATAATTAGATACATTGTAATAACATAACAAATATATATGATAATATTAAGATACATGATAGAAGCCCATACACAAATGACAAGACTAGGATACATGATAGAACAAATTGTGTCAAATGCATGCGTAAATTGTCAATAATACGTAAATCTCCAATATATTCTTTAGATACATATACACTTAATAAGATACACTGATAAAACTAGATATATATAATCGTATCTCAATAATGTATCAGATACATCAATAAGGTGTCAAATACAAGCGTAAATCTCCACTTATTGAAACTTCCAATTACATTCGTGGTTGGTCAGGGCATCTCACCGCGGTAGTGTTTGCTTCACATTTTGATTCATCGTTGTTGCTCATTGTGCCTAGATCTGACGGGAGAAGTGACGCGAAGTTTCTTAGTTGATTTGTAGTATACAATGTATGCAACCGATACTATCGTCAATATCGAATTTGATAAATCTATGGGGCTTGAAATCTATACTTACAACGATACCCATTGTCTGTGCGCGCGAGAGGTGTCTCCCCATGCGAGAAGAAATGGTGGATTCGTGGAGAAGTGGTTTGAGAGTGAGAAAATCAAAAGCTATGAATTTGATGTGTGTGTTTACAAGCTGTAAAACATCAATTTTAATGGAGTGTTTCTTCTGAGTAAATTTTAGACTCTTCAAGTTAAGAGGAAGGGGAAGAGGAAAAGTTAGAGTTTGAGTTTTACCCTAACTCATACTCTCTGAGAGAAAGATATTTGTTTTTGATTAAAACACTAATTTTGAAGTTTAAATGTAAAAATAATTAATCAATTCTAGTTTTAAGGGATATGAGTATTGATTGTATCTTCAATAAGTATATGGTATAAAATATTAAAAGTGGTGATATATGTAATTTACCTCTACTTTTTTTAATATATGTAATAGCTTAAAAGTAGAGGTAAAATTAGTATAGATGGTAGTTATGTATGTCTATTAAAGTAGACCTTATATTCCGTTTTACCCAATTATACAAATAACCTTTCTCTCTCATCACAATCTTTTTATTGATTTTTTCCCTTAATTCACCCGAGTACAATCAGATTTCAAAATTTAAAAAATTAGCGTCTCCCTTTCAAATTGTGCTCCCATAATTTCTGGTCTCTTTCGACGGCTTCAATCTATTGTTTTTTTATTGGTACTTCCGTACTTGTATATCCTTCATATTTCTTTTAATTTTTGAAATATCTCCATAGCTACATACAAATTATGGATGAACAAACTACTTTCAAGAGTGTTGCGTTTAAAATCAAATCTTTAGGTGCTTCATGTTATGCAAATTGGAGGACGACTTCTCAAATGCACGGTTGATTTATATAAATCAGACCACACTTTGATTTATGAAAACATATTTGTTGATGCAGAGTTATGCCCCAAAGTATCTTACACCATAATGGATATCAGGGGTGGTTATTATAGCTAAAGTCAATGTTTATAGCTACCGCTTGATGCTTTTTGAAATTGTATTAGGTAGGGATGTGTATCGGTTGGTTCGATTTTATTTATTATCGATTTTTGATTTTTAAATATGCTAAACCAATAACAAATCAATAAGACATTTTTTAATAGTTTTCGTCCTTAACGGTTCGATTTTCGGTTTACCCAATAAGAAAATGTTTATAAAATAAATATATGACTTCTCCAATATTTTGACATGACAAGACAATAATGTAATTTTACAAAATGCTCATAAAATAATTAAAATAATAACTAACATGAAAAGAACTATACAACTGCAATACAAAGAGAAATTAAGTGAAGATGGATTTTACTTTAGGTTTTGACATTTTGTATAATAAGAAGTTGTAAACTCAAAGTCAGTGTAAAGTGCGAATTAAACGTTAATGAACAAAGACAGTAACCAATAAGATACTAAGATTAATATTAAATATTTATGTATGGATAAAGTAGTAAATTACTACAATCTTAATGGGTTATCAGTTTAACCAATAACCAAAAATTAAAAATCAATATCGAACCGATAACCCGATAATTGTTTTTACAAACCATTAAAAATTCATTAACCCAATAACACAATAACAATAAACCAATAACATTTTTTGTTTCAGTTTATCGGTCGATTCTGTTTTTGCACAAAACTTGTATTAGGTAGGCGAAATTCAAATTTTGTACAAATATATACATTTAATTGTATATTTTTTTGTCCATCAGTGGTGCATATACAATAGATTAATTTGTATTTATCAATATTTTGTATATATGATTTATTGATACATTTGATTTGTATATGTTCTGAAAAAATTATAAACGTATAAGTCTAACAGTCAATTATACGTATAATAATAACTCTAGTAGTCACTTCATACATATTCAAATTGTATATAAATTATATTTTGATATATATACAAATTCATTATACTTTTTAGAAAACTATCCAAAAAATAAATGTGCAATGTATATAAACACAGAATCTAACTCATATAAACTATTTCATAAATTAACTTTTGTCTTGCTCCACCCCGCACTGTCCTATTGCCATTCGAATTAAAGCATTTGTTTTAACAAAGAAAATGACATATAACAATAAAAATAGAGTAACTTTCACATATAACAAACATAAAAATCATATTTGTATGTTATAGTTATAGTTTGCATAATTGCGCTCCATGACAAATTTTATATTTGCTATGGAGCTTTTGATTTGTATAATTCGCTACAAACATCCAATTTTATACAAATTGTTCAGTTTTGTATAAATTATTTATACATTGTAATTTGTATAATAAGATCTGTATTTATATAATTATAAGTGTATACGACGAAAATATGTATATTTGTATTTGTATATACACTTTTCTCTCGCTTTATACAAACACAAACGCATTTTATACATTTTATACCAAAATGTATAAAATGGCTAATTGTATACCGAAAATGACTAATTATATATCGAATCAGTTGACAAGAAAAGGAGATGTTTGCTACGAATTACAATTAAAATAAACTATGACTATAACATTTAATTTGAATTAATAATTTGCTATTTCATACAATTTTCCCATAAAAATATGCATGAAAAGTAAACAGTGAGGAGTAGTTAGTCAATTTAAATGAAAAAAAAAAACACTATTAAAGTACTACTAAAATCAGCTCTAATATATATGAGAATGATACATAAATATGTCATTTACCTTGATCTCAACAAATATTTTGTCGGTCAATTTTGTGTGTATAAATAAATATTTAAATTTGTATAAATTTAAACAAGTATATACACCCATTTTATATGACATAATATACGTAAGACGCCACATAGAATATTATATAGAATTTAAATTATAATGTAAGACCTCATGTAGTATTACTCAAACATTTAATTTCAATATCTTTTTGCAAGTTGCCACCTAAAATTTCAATAAGCCAAAATAAATTCTTTTAAACTCATCTTCAAACAAGGAAATATTGCAATTACCGGCAATTTGTTTGATGTAGTTTCAGTTCCTCCCTCTTGATTATTTCATTATCCACGACTCTCTTTGTTTATGAAGAGTTATTTTAATTAATTTTGAGAATCAAATTGGATAGATCAACACAATAATAATTATATTAAAAATAGTATAAGTTGTAATTTTTCTTATGTTAATATAATAATAAAAAAACTACAAAAACATACTTTGATTCTCGTAAAGCAAAATATGATAGTTAATTTGAAACACAAAAGAGTATATTATTGCCGCAGAAGGTTAACTTACTCACAGTTAAAATTCCTCATTGAAAATTTCAATCTAAATTCTCTTTAGACTCCGAACGAACTTCTTCATTTGCATATTTTAGTCCAACTTATTGATTTGTGAAGCTTTATAATTATCCTAATTTTAACTTATTTATCGTTAAAGAAGAACATAAGTAATTTTGAAGAAATGAAACATCCTAAAAATTACCCTCTTTTCATGAAGTAATTGGCCATCCATAATTTGAGTAGTTATTTAAAGTTACAACATTAAGATAAATTAAAAAGAAATGAAGAAAAATATCAAAAACTAAATTATAATTAACGGTCGTGCCACATATATTTTAAATTTTATTATATAAACATTTTTGATAACTTTTTTTTTTAATTATAAAAAAAGTTCATTTTTTCTCAACTCTTTCCTTTAATCGGAAATATCATCACTGTCGCTCAACGCCGGTCCTCGCCTAAAACCTAAAACCCTAAACCCTCTGCACAGGGATTGGGAAGAAGAAAACCCAACAATATAAACTTTTTCTAACTTTTTTTCTTTCAATTCTGGAATAATGGAGCAAAGATTGGGAAATACATGGCGAATGACAGTGAATGAGAAGAAGTTCATAGAATCTGCTTTAGAATCTGAACTAAGAGTTGATGGTCGCCGTCCTTTTGATTATCGAGCCCTCACTATCAAGTTCGGCAGGTAAAAACCTCTAGCTCAATCTCTCTCTTGTTTTTTTTTTTTTAAAAATATTGTTATGATATGTGAGATATGCTAGTGCGATTTTGCATTATGATTGTTTAGAGTTATTGATTTGCAGAGAAGATGGTTCATCAGAAGTTCAACTAGGGCAAACTCATATTATGAGTTTTGTTACGTCGCAACTAGTGCAACCTTATCGAGATCGACCAAACGAAGGAACTCTTTCAGTATTTACTGAGTTTTCACCAATGGCGGATCCTTCTTTTGAGGCAGGTCGTCCTTCAGAGTCTGCTGTTGAGTTGGGTCGCATTATTGACAGAGGGTTAAGGTAACATTTCAAAAACCATTTCTCCCGAGACTGTTTTGCATCAAAAAATGTATTGTAAGCTGTATATTGTTTTTTTTTCTTCAAAATATTATAAGATGTATATTGTAGAAGAAAGAGTTTTTACTATCTTGTGGAGGATATATTGTATTTCTTTTGTGTAGCGGTTGAGAAATGCTTTTAATTTTTAAGCACCTGCTCATTCTTTTTCCATTGTAGTACTACTGGATAATTGCTTTTTGAGCCTTTGCGGTAGATCTGTTTGAAGGTATCATGTATTTTTTTGTTTCTGTAGAATGCAGATAGAAAAGCAATTGTCTAGGTAGTACTTAGTTATGCATCATTTGTTTTGCTGGAGATAAATACAGAAGTTGAAGAAAAGAAATTGTTGTCTTTGGTTAGGTCTTCTTTTATTCTGATATCTAAAAATGGTAATGCAGGGAAAGTAGGGCTGTGGACACTGAATCACTCTGTGTTGTGGCTGGGAAGTGGGTGTGGTCAATTCGTATTGATCTCCATATTTTGGACAATGGAGGGTAAGTTGCAGTGGTGCACATTTGGGTCCCGTTTAGTACCCATCTATGTCTCCATCTGAAGTTATGGAACTAATTATGTGATTCTTCTATAAGTGCAGTAATCTTGTTGATGCTGCCAATATTGCTGCTTTAGCTGCGCTTTTGACATTTCGGAGGCCTGAATGTACACTAGGAGGAGATGACGGGCAGGAAGTGACACTGCATCCACCCGAGGTTTCCTTTCTTGCTTTATTCTCGCTAAATGAAGTTCAATTTTGAGGTTGCGTTATGAGTAATATCTCTTTGGACAGAATCATCCATTAAATCCATATTCAGAAGAAAAATATTTGGTCAAGCAACTAGCTTGGAATCTTACATTTCCCTATATGTTCTTCCTTTATTAAAATTTTCCTATCTGAGGGCTTTCCTTTGTCATTGCTTAACACATCATTCCGTTCTGGTTGTAAAAATAATCATGGGGACTCAATTATCCCCCAAAAAAGCCTCTTGTGGTGTCTCCTCTGTTTTTTACCTATTAGTTTGTCTTGAAATTTGGAGAACTTCTCTTGGATGAGGTTGGAGTTATTTTGAGCTCTGCTGAATGTGCTCGGTAACTTTATATTTCGGAGGAAGTTCTTATATCTTCCACAGAAATATAGAATTAACAGATTTGTTTTGGAGAGACATTATTCTTGTTGTGGAGTAGCTGCTTATATTCTCGATTGTGTTTGCTCTTGTTTGTCTTTGACTCTTCATCTTAGACCCTGTTAACTTGGGAAAAAAAGAAGAGCGGAAGAGAAGGAGAATTTGGTGTATCTATTGCCTTAAATAAAAACAACTGTCATAATAGGAGCACCTGACTTGCCTGTTCACAACTCGTTACCAGTAGATGTGGTCACAATCATAGCTAATTGAGAACAAATGATATGTTGGTTGGTTAATCTTTCTAGTTGGGTTTTACTTGTTCTTTACATTCTATTGATTGCAGCTAAGTTGCTCGAACTTGGGCGCGGGTATCTGATATGGGTGCGGATCTAGAGGTGGGATCCTTCATGATCTATATTTTAAGATTTGGAGGTACAGATTCAGCAAGGATACTGGTGCGGGGATTCTGCTAAATAAATCAAATATCTAGAAACAGAGCTATAAAAGTATGCCTTAGTTATGAGACATTAGTGGAAGACTTACATGTATCCTGTGAAATCCCACTAACTCATCTTTTCAAGTTGTAGGTAGCCATCTAAAATACACACTAGCTTGTCTTGAGAATTTAAAATGCCAAATCTTAACTCGAATTTCTCTGTAGTTGGTGGTCCAAGTTTTCAACGTTGATTGAGTGGATCTGCTACTTATCCCACTCCCATACCCAATGTCCTGTCGTGTCGATACAGCTGCGGCACCAAAAGTGAAGAGTCCAATCTACTAAGGCTTGCAGGTCCTTGGGTTAGAGATCTTCATGTTAGTGTCTATCTGGACTAATGCATGAACTTGTTACTCCATTTTGGTATAATTATTTATATCTTAATTAACATAAGAAAGAGTGATCTTATACCATCTGTGTAAGCCATGATTTTTTTCTGGTGTGTTGGCAAATTACAGGCCACTGTGGGATAATTCATAAAATCCTCCACTTTGCTCAGAAACAATGTGAGCAGAGGAAGTTCTTAGTTTTGATATATTCTGCAATTTGTTGCTGCTTTTTTATTTTATTTTATTTGAGATTGGTAACTGTTTCTATTTCTTTAAATCAGTACATGGGTTGTATTGAAAACCATATTTATATAATGAACTCTAAAGGCACTGTCCTATCCCTATAATGAGTCTAAAACATCAATGATAGAGACAATGTCATTAGAGTAGATCTGATTACACCAAAAACACAAAGTTAGTATACAATTCAATTTTACTTGCTGCATATTACTCTCCCTATTCTCAAAAACTCTAAGATTTCTCTCTTTCCAGATAGTCCACCAAATAGTAGCAGGAATGATTCTCCAGTTGCTTTTGTTCTTTGCTTTAATCCTGCTTCTTCCCAACTGTATAAGGCCTCTGCAATTCTACCAGGCATGACCCATGAGATGTTTTTGAGCCTTAGGAATAGTCTCTGCAATTGGCCAGTGACCTTGCACTGGATCTGGATGAACAAGTGATTGCCTGTTTCTGCAGTTTCCCCACAAAAAAACATCTAGAGCACAGTGTAATCCCCCTCTTCATCAAATTTTCCTGTGTCAACACAACTTCCTTAGCCAGTAACCACACAAAACAGGCCACTTTGTGTGGGATCTTGGCCTTCCAACTGTGTTTCCAGGGCCATTTGGGTGCTGCGTAATTGTATGGTTCAACTTCCTATATGTTGCACTTACTCTAAAGGTCCCTTTACAGTTCCCCAACCACTGTAATCTGTCCTTCCTCGGCTCCAAGCCACTAAATTGTTCAATGACGCTGAAGAATTCTGTAACTCTTGGAATTTCCCAATCATTGAGGTGCCTTCTAAATATAATATTCCACCCATGAGGTGTCCATAGTTCAGCTATTGTACTTTGTTGTTGAAGAACCAGAGTGTGTATGTCTGGGAAAAGTGACTCCAGATTTCCTGCTTCATGCCAATCTTCCTTCCAGAATCTAGTTTTAGCGCCATCTACCACTTTAATCTTGGTGTTTGGTTTGAAATCATCCCATAGTGATCGGATGGATTTCCATAAACTAACACCATAGAGAGTGGTAACTTCCTTTGTCATTCAATTGTCACTTTCTTCATATTTTGCTTTTATGACTGAGCCCCATAAATTCTGATCATCGTTAGAATACCTCCAAAGCCAATTAATTCTCAAAGCATTGCTTTGATTCTTTAGGTTCTTGATCCCTAAACCCCCATTTGTTGCTGTTTTTTTATTTCCTTTGTTTTCTATCTTTTGCTTTGCGCTTCACCTGTGCCTCCTGCCTTTTAAGATGCTTCTTCCAGAGTATTTTGCTGATGTATAAATTATTCCATTGTTTGACTGTAATGGGAAATGTTCATTTGCATTGCTATTACTTGATGTGGTTGGATTGTTGGTTTAAATGCCTTAAATGTTGACTGATTGAGTACTTCCTGAACTTTGGCAGGTGAGGGAGCCACTTCCCTTGGTTGTACACCATCTACCTATAGCAGTAACTTTTGCATTTATTGGAGACGAGCATATGGTAAGCAACTGTTAAAATTTCCTCTTTTCATTGTTTTATGCTGTTATAGTTATATGGTCTTGAAAAATCTAATGCTAACTTAATTCTAATCTAATTCGTATTGGTAGGTTATAGATCCAACACATCATGAAGAAGCTGTTATGGGAGGAAGAATGTCCGTCACCCTGAATGCAAATGGTGATGTCTGTGCAATTCAAAAAGCTGGAGGACATGGTGTCATGCAAAGTGTTGTCATGCAGTGTCTACGCATAGCATCAGTAAAAGCCGGAGATATAACTAGCAAAATTAAAACAGTTGTAAGTATTTGGTATCTCAGACTAAATTTCAAATGATTTCTGAAATCAAAACAAAAGGTAGGGTGAAATCATAATTTATTCATATGTTTTTTTTTATTGTTAAAAAATACATGTATTAAAAAGTCACCAATCAGAAGATGCTTTAAAGATATTTATAGATCACTGCTGAATGAGCATTGAACTCAAGAAGTCTATCATGACCTCTATAATCATTTGGAATAGTCACGTTACACTTAAAAATAGTAAAGAGACATATTTATACTTAGTGCTCTCTCCGTTCACTTTTACTTGTCCACTTTGGACTTTGCACGCTCATTTAAGAAACAATGATATATATTGTATTTTAGCACAATACCTATATTAATTGATGTATAAGTTTAAGTCTTGAGAAATGATTTAGGGAATAAGTAATTAATGTTGATGGTGAAACGGAAAAATATATTTGTCTTTTCTTTATATGTTAAAAGTGACAAGTAAAAGTGAATTACCCTTGTCGAAAAAAAAAGTGATAAGTAAAAGTGAACGGAGGGAGTAATAATTATAGATTCGAACTTGCTCTAAAATAATTGGGGTCTTTGGCACTTATGCCCCTATTTTGTGCCGGTCTTTAATTTTTTCCTCTCAAGTTAAACATTTTTTTTGCTGGGCATTAGTTTATATTTTCGCATCATAATATCCCACAAGATATGCGCCTATGTCTCCCAGGCATAAGTTCGATAGCTAAGGACAAAAATTAAAGACCAGTATGTCTGAAGGGAAAAAGTGCAATTTTTTCAAAAACTTGTGCGTTCTTTTCCTATCTCGGTGAACAAGAAGGCAATTGAATGCTGTTCCCTATATGAATGGCCGAAGTATGTTTTTTCTGGTTACATGTTAGATGCTTCTGTGAATTGGGATAAGTTTGCGTTTGCCAACTTGTACAAGTGGTTATGGTTGGTTGATTAGTTCCTGATAGGCTGAATTGTATTCTCTTATAGGTTGAATCTTATAAAACAGAGAGAGCTCTCAGAATGGTCAAGCGACATGCTCCAATTAATGCTGTTGATGTCAATGAACCAGGTGGAAAGGTATGTGGAGGTTGTTTCATAGGTCTAGTGTACGTGTAGAGCCATTATACTGAATGATTAGAGTCATCACAGTTAGACACGTTAAAAAAGGTTAATGAAAACTAGTTCAAATGGTTTAGCCCTTGAAATCAACTTTAGTTCTTACTAGAATCTGAAAAATGGTGGATATTGCTAGGAAGAGACATAAGTGTTTTAGTCTCTCAATTGTTAGAGTATATCTTTCATCACAATGTTGATCCTTATCCGAAGAAAACTTCAATTTTTATTTTTGTGGATAAAGACTAAAGCAAACTTCATCAATTTTTCTTTTTTGAGATAAAGACTGAAGCAAACTTCATCTTCAGCATCAATAATTTTGACTTAGATTTTTCAGTCAGCTGAGTTTCAATCTTAAGACTTCAGTGTTCAGATTTCTTATTCCATCTCTTTAATGATAAGGCTAAGCAAATTTTGGAGGGGCAAAAATTGAAATCAGAAGAGTGCAGTGCTAGTCAGAGCGATGGCATGGATGTCGAGCAGGGTAGAATCAACAAGAGGACTGATAAGAACCGGAGTTTCACAGGCGGGCCATCCAGTTGGTAGATCTTTGTCCTGTCTCATTATGAGTCTGTTTACCAGAAAATTAATTATTTGCGATGCAATTTTATATGCTTCTACAATATGCTTATATTATATAAGTTGCCAAAGTGCCCTGGAATGCTGTCTTTGTGCTAAGAGGTTTATTTCTTTTGGCATGCATAATTGATAACCCATGTAATTTCATCTTACTATATTAACCAAAAGTTGTTATTTGAAGAAGCAATTTGTATGTTCTTGGTTTTGAAAGAACTAACCCATTTAAGAGGAGATGCATTTCTCCATCTTAGAGTGCATCCAGAAACTTATTTGGACATGTTTATAGTTGATTTTGCTCTATCTCACTGCAAATAATTCCTTTTTTTCCTGCTTAGGGATCCATATTCAGAGGGTGTCAACACTGACGAATTGAAAGCTACTCTTGCTTCTCGTGGTGAGTTTTATGATTTTATATTAAGTATAAGCTTGGAGCTCCTCGTGTATGGCTATCTGACTTAAAGATAAATGGGGCTAAATTACCCAAATAAGCTTTATGAACTGTGTATAGGTTTTGGAACAGTGAAGTTCATGGTAAGCATGGTCTTATTAAATGTATGTATGTATATATGTGTGTGTGTGTATATATTTGTTAATATAGTCAAAGACTTTGCTAATCTCACAACAGATGGATACTTCATTTTATGTGGTATTGTCCAGCTTTACTTGTCAAAGTAAATTTAGAAATTATACAGGACTATCTAAAAATTGTTAACAAGTTTGTGAGACTTCTAATCTAATTGCACGCCAATAAAATGTCAGCCTGATTTGTCTCTTAATTTGTGTATAAAGAATATTAAGTGGCATGAAACACTGAGTAAGAGAAGAAGAAGTTGGAACTTTTATATTGTTGTCAGCTATACAGATAACCTATCATCAGTTTCATGCGTCATAACATGCACTCACTAAAGAAATGACCCCAAATAATAAAAATTGCTTATAATAAGCTTGTAAGAAACAACAACATTACCAGTGTAGTCCCACAAAGTTGGGTTTGGGGAGGGTAGAGTGTACACAGACCTTACCTCTAGCTTGAGGTAGAGAGGCCGTTTTAGATAAACCCTTGACTTAAGATAAAAACAGTCTAGAAAAAAAAGTAATGGAAATACAAGAAACAAGAGACAGTAATAAAAACAACAGATAGAGAGCAGAATAATACTACAACAAAATAATACTATTATCAAACTACACGAAAATACAAAATATAACAGAAATAGAGGAACAAGAAATAAGAGTAATACTACGACTACTAGAATGGACAACAAGACTATTCACTCCTACCGACTAGTTTGGATACACTCCTACCTTTCTACCTTAAATTGTGTCCTCCACACCTTCCTATCTAAGACCATGTCCTCGGTAAGCTGCAAGTGCTCCAAATCCCCCAGCACGATGTCTTTGCCCCCCTCCTCGTTCAAGAGCTTATGAAAGTATGATTGCCATCTTCTAATGAGTGCCTCCTCCACCAGTACTTTGTTGTCCTCATCCTTGATGCACTTCACTTGGTCAAGGTCACGGACCCTCCTCTCTCTCGCCTTGGCTAGCTTGTAAAACTTCTTATCACTGCCTTTGTCCCTGCGTACAGAACGTTCAAAAGCTGTTGTTTTTGCCATCATAACCGCTTACTTTGCCTCCTTTCTAGTCATCTTATACTTCTCCCTGTTTGTCCGCTTTTCTTCCTCGTCCTTACTCTCCACCAACTTCGTGTAAGTCACCTTCTTTGCCTCCACCTTCCCTTGTATTTCTCCATTCCACCACCAATCCCCTCGATGCCCACCAGATCAGCCTCTCGAGACTCCCAACACCTCAACACCTCTCTTTCCTAATGCAACTGATGCAACTGGCAGTCTTATCCCACATACTGTCCGCATCTCACTACACCCAAGCCTTCATAGCCATCATATTCTCCCCTATCTCTGGGGTATCGGCCATAGTCAAGCTACCCATTTGATTCTTTGCCGGTCATCCACAATCCTCTTTTTCCTCTCCTTGATCTCCAAATTCATCCCCAAAAGCTTATGTTGGGTCGTGAATTCTCACTAAGGATGACCTTACAGTCTTTACAAAGACTTCTATCAACCTTCCTAAGGAGCAAAAAATCAATTTGAGTCTTAGCCACTGTATTGCAGAAGGTAGCCAAGTGCTCCTCCTCCTTAGGGAAACTCAAATTGGCTACCACCAATTCAGAAGCTCTCGCGAACTCCAAAAAGTGCGGCTTTGCCTTAGTTCCTGTCCCCAAATCTGAAACCTCCTTGCACATTGTCATAACCCACCCACTCTGAAGTCTTAATTGACCCGATGTGTCCATTAAAATCACCTCCTATGAATAGCTTCTCAGTGAGCGGTATACTTCTCACCATCTCGTCCAAATCCTCCCAAAAGCGCTTCTTGTCCTCCTCATCCAAGCCGCTTGCAGAGCGTAAGCATACATTATTGAACATAAGAACTTTCAAGTACTTTAACATAAAAACATTTGTGTTTCTGTGGGTAGGAGAGAACTCCTTTTTATTAGTAGCTATAGAAAAGTGGTTTCTTCTATCTAGAATTTTAAAGAATTAAGAACCCTTCAATCATCTCATCCTCTCGATCAGCTTAACTTTTCTGACACCCATCTTTTCTGGATTTCCTTGCCTTTCTTATCAACATGAGGCTACCCAAAGTTCCTCCAATATTTCGCATTGTTTTAGCTGTGAGCTCTACTGAATAAGATCCATCTTTCCATGTAATAAAGAGCTCTGGTTTGCTATAGGAATAATGTAAGCCTTGTGATACAGAACATGCGATGTAATTCAAAGCATAATAGTTTGAACTAATTGCTGATTGGACGGAGAACTTTCTATGTAGCAAGTGGAAAATCCTTCTAGTTGAGAGAAAATAGCAGGAATTCTGTAGTGTGGTTTGATTTGATTGTGTGAAGAACTTTGCCAACAACATTCATTTCAATAACATCACTGGGTGGTGATATATCTCATTTTGAAGCTGGCCTCAAGCTGCCAGATAAATATGCAAAAGAGGGAGAAGGAAGGATCAGCTGCTCATATATTACATGTTTGAATAATTCAACAGCCATGTTTACTGCATAAGAATAATGATGGTGCAGGGGGACCTAAGAAGAATCATGATCATCTATGGAGATTGTACATGACATTGGATGGGAAATTGATCACTAAATGTTGAAATTTTGAATTTGGGGTAAGAACAGGTGTTTTGTCCTTCAGACGAGTTGTTTCCATCAAAGGATGGCCATTAGAGGATGTGAAGCTGGAAAATTCGGAAGAGGTTGAAGGAAACTGCCTCATAATTGAGAACTCTCTTAAATCTAGAGTGGAAGGGAGTGTCGCATTTTCGATTTTGGTTCCTGACATTTAAAGATGCCTTTGATAGTTCAGTTTATGCCGTGTAAATTCTTAAACACGACCTATCTTGTAATTTGTTTAAATGAAAAGTAGGAGGTTATGTGTTTCTTTCTGACTATTTCTCTTGTTAGCACCTAATTATTGCCTTGAATGTTATTATTTTGAATGGTACATCTTTTAATTCTTTGTCCCTGCACGGTTGAGCCTATTTGTAGGTTTGTCATTATATGTTTTAATCTTTGAATATGAAATTGGTCAACACTAAGAAAGTTGTGAAAACCAGAAAGTCTGTGTGCTGAAGTATGGACATTATTGCTTGAAACAAGCACTGCAAGATTGGGGATAAGCTGACTTAATACATTGATTGATTATACATTATGCAGGTTCAGTTGCAGTGCCTATGAATCTAGACAATTTAGGTGATACTATTAGAGATGAAACAAAATCAGATGAACCACTTTCAGATGTTAATCCAGTATCTTCCTCGACTGACTCAGCTGGAAAAGAAATGGCAACGAGCAAAGAAAAAACTTTACAAGATGCTGTTAAGCCTAAAAACAAGCGGAAAAAGAAGAAATCGTCTAATACTGCCGCAGTTTAGAGAATGCATGTGTGATCTATCTTCTTGAGGTACGTGGTGGATTATGTTAATTATGGCATGCAAACTATTCCAGCTTGTAAATAGAATCTGTTCTTGGTAACTGCTTTCTTCCTTACTCGGCTGGGGGAAGAGGTGCGTGATTGTTTTAATCAGATGCCCAGTTCAAGTTTGTCTTTAAACAATCATAGTTGTCCTCTCCAGTGCAGTTCCACTACTCCTTTCTTGTCTGTCTTATGGTGTTGTTGGACACCTTTAGGTTTGATGAAAAATGGAAGTTATATACTTCAGGCTTGGAAGAGTATCATATGTACTGGAGATCTGCGAGGAATTCTCAAATATACTACATCTCTACATTTTTTCATAATAGATTAAAAAGTAATTTTTCCCATAATGTGATTGCCTTTGCTTTGTGACTTGGTCATCCTTTTTTTTTTTTAAAAATAAATCAAAAGGTGCCATGAGCCAATTTATTAAACCAAAATTCAAAGATATGTACACAGACTTGTTTTGGAGATACGGCCCAACTGTCCCAATCTTTTAACTGGATTGCCAAAAACAAAATAGAAAAATAAAACAGACAAAAGGATGACTAGGTCATCTTACTCCTCCAAGGCTTCAACTTTAGCATGTGCTACTATAATGTTATTAAGATGCTAATGTAAAATGGATAATTTGTGGACATTCTTAAGTTGGTTTATATATTTACCAAAAAGGTATTGATCAGTGTTCCCCCTTTGCTAATTTCCAAGAGTGACTATACCAGACGAGAAACCTCCATCTCTTCTGCACGTTTTTATGAAGCTCAAGTAAATCTAGGAGTATATGGTTTTATACTTTTGTTAACATTAATTGATAAACAATGCACAAGTTTAAAAAAAAAACAAAAATACCTTTTTGTTTCTATACAAGTTTTATGTGGGAGTTCTGATACAAGCAGGTTGTATGTGGGTCTATCAACTACAATACAATTAAGAGAATACAGGCAAGTTACCTTTCTCAAGAAACAATAATCAAGAGAATACAAGCAAAAAAGGAGCAAAAGGGGACAACCACATGAAACATATAAAAGCTCTTCCAAAACAAATTTACCTGTCCATTTTGATGCAACCTAACGAGGGCCAAAAACATCTTTAGTATACCCACAACTTAAAACTGTTTGAAATATCACTGTGAACAAAAATCATCCTTCAAGTTTTTTGTAATGAACAGCCTTCCTCCTTTTCTAATCCACTGTGACAAAACCAACGGACTCCTACAAAACTGAATGTGACATTTTCCCAAAATATTGCCTAATTTCCATGCCCGGTCATTAACTAAAGGAAAAACTATGCACACTCCACACATTATATAAGAAAACAAGTGGTCTGCTTTTTTTTTTGTACTGACAAAAATACTCCTCCTTTATATGACACAAAGCAGTGTGTAGCTTTGTTCTCATTTCTGTAATAGGTTCTATGTTGCTCGGACTCTTCAAAAATGTCAGCATGTGCGTGTTGGATTCTCCAAAAGGAGTGTATTTTTGGAGAATTCGACACGGGTGCGGCAACGAAAGTGAAGAGTCCGTGCAACTTAGAATAGGTTTTCTATGTGAACCATGGTTTTTTGGCGAAGATGACATGTCTTGCATGTGATTTTAAGGATTCTGTTATTTTTGTAGCCATGAATAACAGAAGGATGTAACCTGCAAATTTCGATGAACTTGAAGGGTGTTTTTTTTTTTTTTTGCTTACAGAGATATCTTAAGGAGATGTAGTTTTAGTTTAACTTGTGAGTGTACCTAAGGGATATTTCTTGCTTGTAGTGATACTTTAAGGATGTAGTTTAAGCTATGAGTATACTTAAGGGATGTTTTTGGCCAAAATTCCTGCCTATTTGAGTGAAATCGTTCCAATTCTTTGTCTTGTCTGAATTTCTTTCTACTGAACTAATTGGAGTTTAAAAAGTATCATAAGTTTGAAACCAGTCGGTCAGTACATGGTACTGTTTATTCATCACTCCTGCCTATTTGAGTGAAATGGTTCCAATTCTTCCTCTTAGCTGAATTTCTTTCTACTGAACTAATTGGAGTTTAAAGGTATCAAAAGTTTGAAACCAGTCTGCCAGTACATGATAGTGTTTATTCATTACTCTTGTATAGATCAAAACGTCATACTGCAGCTAGTTATTTGGTTGTATATCTATACTATGAAACACATTTAGCTAACTACTTTCATTTTCTTCTCTCAGGTTGAAATTACTCTGCATGGTAATAGTAAATTCTGTGAGTAATTGCACAGTTGGAGAGGCTCATGAAGTTCCTGATGCAAGGAGTTACATCATTGTTTCTCAAATCGAAGGACATGAATTGAAACCATTGCCATTGATGTTCAGTGTGAATGGATGATTAAAGAATGCCGCATTTGGTATCGGTTACCTAGCTTGAGTTCAAATCACTTGATCCCGCAGCAGAACTAGTGGCATTCTGAAATCTTGATTTGAACTTCTTTCTCAGACTTGAACTCGGGACTCAGAGGAAAGACTAAAAATGCTTTGTTCTCGAGAGTTTTCGCTTTTTCTGAGCTTTTGATGTTTTCTTTGTCCTTGTAGAGGATTTCTATATGTAGAGTTATAGAGAAAAGACAAACACATTGTAGACACTCTTCTGCTAGACTTGACTGACCAACTATTTATGTGATAATGCCTAAACATATCAAGTTCATTTATGTTGACATGGTACCATATTGATTTTAAAAAATTGAAGTCATGCTCGGACATAACTTACGGGAAATTATGATACGAAAATATAATCTTAGACACTCCAAAAAAATATTTATTACGAAGAGCATAATTAAAAGTAACACAAACGGGCAAAAAGTGCAAATAACCCCAATTCTACATGTTGCCTCCATATCCTGAAAAGAATGAATCCGAAGTCTAATTAGTTAGGTAATTTGCTAGTTTATTGATGTGCCTAGAAATTAATTAGCATATATTCTATATTCTTTCTTACACCTTGTTTGGATGGTTGTATTGTAATGTTAGTCTATATGCAATGTTTGTTTTGATTGTTACTTAAATTTTATTTTATCTTCTTGTTTAAATTTATCTTTAGGTAGTGATGAAAATACCCATTGTAACGATCGATTTGGTGTGATCGCGTTGTTATCGTAATATTTTCTTCTCATTTTGTCTTTACTTATTATTTAATAGTTTTATTTTATCATTTATCCTACCTTTTCATAGTAGTTGTGCCCCATACCCTACGACTTCTAGTAGGTTAATCACTCAAATTAGGAATATGTGATATTATGTAACGACGAAGAACAATATAATCTATCCAAACGTTATATTCATTAAGATAGTACACTACGATACAACACAACACAATACAATATAATGCGATACATTATGAAATAATGCATAACAATCATCCAAACTTTATATTCTAAAGCACATTTAAATGTCAGAGATTTGTTTCACTATGTAGTTAGTAAGCTTTCGTATTATTGTATGTTACTAGAGTTGTTAGATATCAAATTTCTCTTAGTTTTTGATTAAAAGAATTAATGTTTGCATACATTAACCTACGCCGTATTAATATCTAATTAATCTAAAGACTCAACATAACAGACTAGAATTTGGTAATAAAAGATTTGCATGAACTCAAGGCGTTAACCCTTATTTGATAGATTTACACTAGGCATAATTAAAAATTTACTTGGCATAATCAGTTGTATTATTGTCAATAACTCATATAATTAGTAAAACCCAATGCAATGGGAAGCTCTAGATGACTTGTAATAAAGTTTAAGTCACGAGAAGAAGAAACACATTGCTTTTGTTGTCATTATGCAATCAAAATTTCTTACCAACATGGGTTGTGGTGTACTGGTGGGAGTGCTTCACCCTTAACCAGAGGTCTCGGGTTTGAGCCCTGGGTATGGAGAAAATCCTGTTGGGAGCGCCACCCCCGAATGGGCCTTGCAGAGCGCGGCCCGGATTTAGTCGGAGCTCCAATGTGGGCTCCGGACACCGGGTGGGAAACCAAAAAAAAAAAAGTCACGAGAAGAAGAGAAATAATTGTTTAAACTAGCACAACTGAGAGAGAAGAAGAGTAAGAAGTTTAACAAGATCGTATTAAGGATGATTTTCAACAAGTATTGACAGAAGATAATGAGAGACTAATTTGATCAAAGAGGATAACATTTTGAATCTTCACACGTTTGTGGATGATAGTGATTTTAGTTATACTCATAGAATTAGGGGTCTGAGATATAGAAATTAGGATACCATAAAAAAATGTGGATGAAAAAAATCTTGTGGCCTAGATAGCTTTCATGTAGAGGTATGGAAGTGCACTGGAGTTGTACAAACTATTGTGAAATTAAAATGAACTTAAAAAACATAGTGTTGCTAGAAAATATTAGGTGAGTGCAATTCATTATATATTGGTCAAACACATATACAGACCCTTAAACTTATTCCTAAATTTCATTTTGACACTTTAACTCAACCTTGTTCCATTTGAACTCTTTAACTCCAATTTTTATGTTCCATTTTGGCACTTCTTTCCAAAGAATCAACAAAGTCGGATGTGTGTACTTCACATGCCATGACATGACACAAAAATCAATTAAAAACACATACACAACTCCTCTAACTTGCCCCCATTTTTCATTTTGTCATGCTAACTTAACCTTGTTCCATTTTAATCTTTCAACTCTATTTTATATAGTCGGATGTGTGTACTTCACATGCCATGACATGGCACAAAAATCAATTAAAAACACATACACAACTCCTCTAACTTGCCCCCATTTTTCATTTTGTCATGCTAACTTAACCTTATTCCATTTTAATCTTTCAACTCTATTTTATATAGTCGGATGTGTGTACTTCACATGCCATGACATGACACAAATATCAATTAAAAACACATACACAACTCTAACTTGCCCCATTTTTCATTTTGTCATGCTAACTTAACCTTGTTCCATTTTAATCTTTCAACTCTATTTTATATAGTACTCCCTCTGTCCCTGATTACTTGTCCACTTTTCCTTTTATAGCTGTCCCTAATTACTTGTCCATTTTGATAAATCAAGAAATGACAAAATCTTTTTACCTATTATACGCTCAATTAAATGACTAATTATTTTTAAAAATGTAGAACTTTTCATCCACTTCATAATTAATAGGGGTAAAATGGTAAACTCACTAGTGTTGGAGAACACAGACCTCAAGCTCACTCAAGAACCAAAATATTGGAAAGGAAAAGAATAACTAGCAGGCAGTCTTTAACTATAAGCTGTAAGCTTCTGTTTTCATATATCATCTTCATCATCAATGATGCCTTTTAAATAGGCTTACAACTCAACTAAAATGCAGAATTAAAAGGGCACTAACTCAGTAGTGCTTTCAACTAAAAAGAGAAACTTAAGGGCCAAATAACAACTATCCTAGACTAAGTCAAAGTGCAGTAAAATCACTAAAAGAAACTGCAATAACTTTTCTCTTCTTTTTGTTTGAATCATTTATTCAACATTCCCCCTTGATTCAAAATCACTAACACCAAGCAATGATCTAAAATAAACATGCTTCTGATATGACAGTGCCTTTGTGAAGATATCCGCTACTTGTTCATTAGTGTTGCAAAACTTCAATATGATCTCTTCTTTTTCCACCAACTCACGAATAAAATGGAAGCAAATGTCAATGTGCTTTGTTCTTCCATGAAATGCAGGATTCTTAGCCATTGAAATTGTGGATTTGTTGTCGCAATAAATTTTCGTTGCTTTCTTTTGCTTCTGGTTCAAATCAACCAAAATTCTCCTAAGCCAAATGCATTGACAAGCTGAAGCAGTTGCTGCGATGTACTCTTCCTCTGAAGACGACAATGCTGTCGTTACTTGTTTCTTCGAACTCCATGTTATTGCGCCTGATCCAAGGCTGAACACATTGCCTGATGTACTCTTCCTATCATCCACCGAGCCTCCCCAATCGCTGTCAGTAAAACCTAACAATCTAAAATTTGAAACATGAGAATACGAAATACCATATTCTAACGTTCCTGCAACATAGTGTAAAATTCTTTTTTGCAGCTCCAAAATGATGCATTGATGGATTGCTCATAAACCTTGAAACAACACCAACAAAATATGAGATATCTGGACGAGTATGAGCCAAATAAATCAAACCTCCAACTAGACTTCTAAAACTTCTTACATTGGCTTGCCCAGTACCATCTTCCTGTTGCAATTTTTCATTCATATTCATGGGTGTTGCGGCAGATTTACAATTGACAAGGCCAAATCTTTTAAGAAGGTCTGATGCATATTTCTTTTGAGAAACAAATACTTCACTTTCTCCTTGTTTCACCTCAAGCCCAAGGAAGTAATGCAACAAACCCAAATCAGTCATCTCAAATTTACTCATCATATTAGATTTAAATTCAGCTACAATAGAGTGAGATGAACCCATATATATTATATCATCAACTTAGAGGCATACAACAAGAAGATCATTGTTACCTCGCTTCCTTAAGTATAAAGTAGGCTCACTTTCACTCCTTTCAAACCCATTTTGAACAAAATTGGAATTGATTTTTGCTATACCAAGCGCGTGGCGCTTGTTTTCAGCCCATAAAGTGCATTCCTCAGATAGTACACCTTTTCCTCTTGGCCACTGATTTCAAAACCTTGAGGTTGAGAAACATAAACCTCCTCTTCCAGTTCACCATTCAAGAAGGCTGACTTAACATCAAGTTGATAAAGTGACCATTTCAGTTGAGCAGCCAAGGCTAAAATTGTTCTTACCGTTTCAAATCGAGCAACAGGAGAAAATGTCTCCTCAAAATCAATACCCTGTTGCTGCGAGTATCCCTTTGCGACAAGTCTTGCCTTGTGTTTTTGTACACTTCCATCTACGTGATACTTTGTTTTGAATATCCATTTTAATCCAACTACATTCTTTCCATTTGGCAAGTCAGTGAGCTGCCATGTTTCATTTCTTTGTATTGCCATCAATTCTTCCTTCATCGCATTCTTCCACTCCTCTTTTTCCATTGCTTCTTCATAAAATATAGGATCTGAAACAATAAAAGCAAATTGACAAGATTGATTAGAATATTTAGGATTCTCTTTTCTGGCTCTTGTTGATCTTCTCAGTGGAATTGGCACAGATGAAGGTTCTTCAAGTGTTGCGAATGTCTCTGGTTCAATCGCTTCCTCAAGTGAATTTGGATCAGACCCTTGTCCTTCATCCGGAGAGTCTTCAATGGTTATTGAAATCTCCTGTTGTATTTGTTTTTCACTCCAATTCCAACTTGACTTTTCATCAAATACAACATTTCTGCTAATTATCACTTTGCCATTAAAAGGGTTATATAACCTGTATGGTTTGGATTCAAGACAATAACCAATGAAAATACATTTTTGTGATTTTTCATCTAGTTTTTGACGAGTTTGAGAGTTTACCAAAGCATAAGCAATACAACCAAAAATTCTTAAATGGCTTACCGAAGGACTTGTACCTTTCCAAGCTTCATATGGCGTTTGATTCATCACAACCTTTGTAGGCGATAGATTCAGTAGGTACACTGAAGTTGCAACTGCTTCTGCCCAATATTGATTTGGAAGTCCTTTGCCTTTCAGCAAATTTCTTGCCATCTCTACAACGGTACGATTCTTACGT